CGCGCGGGCCGGACCGCCGGTGAACGTCCCCAAAGTGCGCCCACGTGTTGGCGCGATCGATACCCAGGCGCCCGCTGGCATTAGCATACACAACGCGCATCGAATGCTGTAAAGCAGGCGTGCCGCTCAGCAGGCGACTGGCTGCGCTGATGGGCAGCGGAGGAGGTGAGCCTGCCTGATGGGCAGCGGAGGAGGTGAGCCTGCGCTGATGGGCAGCGGAGGAGGTGGGCCTGCCTGATGGGCAGCGGAGGACGTGAGCCTGCGCTGATGGACAGCGGAGGAGGTCAGCCGATGCGGATGGGCGCAGAAGGTGCGCAGGGTGGTGCACACCGGCCTCGACGGGCTCCGTGGGCTCACCTGCGTACGGCTTCATCTGGTAGAACTCTCGCCGTCGTTTCATCTCGCCTCTGAACAGGCCGGGAATCATTTTGTACACCATGGTCTGAAGAATGCGGTCTGCCCTGGAAGAAAGTGGGACACATTGTCTTAAGTTGGTTAAAACCTTTCCGTGACTTGGACAGATTGGGCGGTTTTCGGCACCGATGGGTGGTTGGGGTACAGTTGCTGCACGTTGACCCGTTTGGTCCAACGGGTTCGTCTGGCCGTGGCTGATGATCATGGCGCTCCGTTTATTTTAACTAGGCATCGGGATGGCGTACAGGCATCAGGAAAGATGCGATTTAGGAGAGCAGCATGTAACTTTACTCACCGTGAGTCATCAAAATGCAAACAAAGTTGGCGAGCGGTTAATGTCAAAAGTCGTTAAATGGGCATTGAGCATTATGGTGGGCATGGGCCCTACTACTCTGCCTCACGCGGATGGCCAGAAGCGGAGGCGTCGACTTCTCTGCTTCACGCGGATGGCGAGCAGCGGAGGCGTCGTAGCCAAAAACTAATGACAATCTTCCTGAGATATTTTCGATTATAGTTATTCCTGAGTTATCGAGCATCAACGCACAAAAATAAAGGCTGCGCTGGCGGCGTCTATCTTGCGCGGATCAGCAGATGCCGCTGCTTTTTTTTTGTCTTGTAGCCTGGTGATGATTAGATCTCTGTGTGGCGCTGATTGGTTGGAACAGGCCGAACACCGACGTCATGTCGGTAGGCGCTGTCTGTCTGACAGGCGGGCAGAAAAAAACCCGAAGCAGCCCCCGACAGCACGAGCTCCGTTGAGACGAATCCAACATAAAGCTCACGAGAGATGCTTGTGCGACAAAATGCTATGATCGATATGATTAAAAAGCTATTTTATGTCCTGTGAAATATTATTAGCTGTTATTTTTTTCAAATTTTTATTTAACTTGTCGAGTGGGTATCATTGATATCTTGATGTCGCTTGTACTTATCTCCTCGTATGATGTTCGAGTGGGTATCATTGATATATTGATGTTCGCTTGTACCTACATTCCCGTATATTGCAGGTCGATTATCATTATTGGGTTTCTTAAGTGTTCATTGCCGTCATTACCATGAAATAAAGCAGAAAGGATATGTCAGTTGAGCTGCATGGGTAGTGAGCAGGCCTGTGTTTCTTTCAAGATAAATCCACCAACGATTCGTGAATCACACCACCTTCGGATGAGGCACAGGTGATTCGGCTTTTTTCTTTTAGTGAGTCGTGACGCAATTAGCTTGCCCCGCAATGTGAGTCGTGACGCAAATAGTTTGCTTTGAAACGCAAGTCGTGACGCAAACAGTTTTCCCTGCGAGTAAGAGTCGATCTGGACTGCACAGTTTATGCGAGGACTAAATGAAACGATTTCATAAATTGTTCACAAATTTGTACACAAATTATCCTCTTGTTTGATTTGGACAAGCGGAGTTCGACATGCTCCATCAAGCCCTGTCAGCACAGTGCTTACCAATGGTGCCTTACTGACAAAGGCTGTCATACCAGACAAAACGCTTACCTAAATATTGACCTAGGTGCCATCTCTACCTTATCACTTATCACTTATCCAGTGATAAGTGATGTCACTCATCAAGCTGCGCATGCATCACAGCTTTCTCCTATTATACCAAAGCCACATCCAATAAGCCCTAAATTGATTGAAATCCCACAACCAAATAATAACTGCCTCCTCAAGTTCAACGACTGCACACCAGCAACTAGCATTAGGCATAAATTACCGGGCAACCAGATTACGGTAAGATGAAGCCATTAGTACCAGCAGGTATCATGTCTTTTTTCTCTTGTGCTGAAAAGACCTACTTGCCTCTGTCTGGCCTTTCAGTAGAAAAAGAGCATTGCTACTGTACGATGCGACTGCCCAAAGGCAATAAAATTAGTCTCTCTTCAAGTACCTAATCTTATCTTCGCATCTATTTCATGATTTTGATAGTTGATAATGCAGGGTTTCTGGTTTTTGCTTTTACTACGCGAGTTCTTGACAATTGTGGATAGATGCGGGATACGGTATGCGTTTTTTAATGCATTCTTCAGTGAGCCATGATCCACGCAAACCGAATTTGCTGGATTCAGAGGCTTGATTTTAAACTTCCAAAGAAGCAGACATCAGTGCCGAAATCGATAATCTTGACAACTAATTGGCAGCACTCCTTCTCCTGAAACCCCGTCTAAAATGTAATCCATCTTGACGAGAATCAATCGTGTTTTAGCTACGAAGTGTGAAAATCAGTGCGGAATCGCTGAGCGCGGTATGCAGCCATGGATGAAGCTATGCCCCTAAAATTGGGGAAAATATCGGGATTGGGACGGGGAGCAAATTGTGATCGTGGACAACCAAATACAAATAAATGCGTTGTAAGGGCAACATTTGATGAGAAAAAATCCCATTCTGACAAGATTGGTGCGCCAAAAATCCCACTTCAAGTGGTTACTGGCTTCACCCACGGATAAATCAATGACGAATCGCTTAGCAAAGTAAGAAATGATCAGTTGATCTGAATCTGAATCGCTAAACTGGAGTGTGAGTTGGGAATAATTCGACTCTTATAAGAATCATAATGTAAATCAGAATTGAATCGTTCAAAATCGGTCATGAATCAATAACAAATTGCATCTCAAAATATTTATCGAACACGGGCCTGATCGTGAGTTTGTGCGCTTTAACGTCGCGCGATTTCCTTTAGGACCTGAACGCATCATTGTGAGCGGATAAATCAGGTCTCTGGTATGAAATGCAGTGTTATGTGCAAGCTTTTGGTAGCATACAAGTTAAGGTGAGTACCCCTCCATAAAAAAATCATAAGACTGTGCGAGGCCCTTTCTAGCCAGGCTTGTACATTCCCATTCGTGTCAAACAGCTGACTTCGCAAATTGCAGGAGTTACGGTTGCACAATCCCAAACCGCAGAGCCCGCAAGGTATGTCATAGACCATTACTATCACCCAATGGCCAATAACATTCGGCCTCAACTTCCAACCCTCACAAGCAAACGCATGCAGTCATGAGCCTTACTTGAGACTAGAGGAGCCCTTGGTCCTGTGTATCATAACGTCACACACAGGACAGTAACTGCTGGCCTCCAAGTGTCGCAAGATGCAGGACCGGCAAACTGAAAACAGAGGGATGAGATGAGCACAGGTATTCACCGATGGCGCACAAAGTCTCGAGCTGACCACTCGCCACAGATTTCTGAGGTACTGGAGCAGCGTATCCATGGAATGATCTCACCACAGCCGTCCGGTCGGAGAACAAACTACACACAGATTGGATAGATAAAGCCGCAAATATTCATGACAAACCAATTTCAAGCACGTCTCCGTATAAGTGTTGCATTCTTGCTGAGCTGGACGCTCAGACATTCACAACGTCGGATTTTAGGCGCCAAAATTGCCCGCTCGGACGTGCATTATTCATGTTGCCGCGGTCTAAGTCGGGTCGTTTGCTGCGGGTTTCTCATTCTTGAAGTCGGCCGGCGGCCACCAGTTGCGTCCGAACTCGCCACTGCGGAGGACGTCACACACGGATGGCAAAGCGAGTCCGTCCAGGTCCCGTCAGGAGCGGCTGTCTGTCAGTGGCCCGGCGGGCGGGCAGACCGACTGCCGTCACTGTCTCGTCAGTGGCAGCCACATGTAGGCCTGCATGGAAGCGACCGACCGTTCGCCTCGGCAGGTCAGCCCCGGTCTCGTCACGTGGCAACACTAGACAGACCTGCATGGAAGCGACCGACCGTTCGCCTCGGCAGGTCAGCCCCGGTCTCGTCACGTGGCAACACTAGATACAGACCTGCATGGAAGCGACCGACCGTTCGCCTCGGCAGGTCAGCCCCGGTCTCGTCACGTGGCAACACTAGATACAGACCTGCATGGAAGCGACCGACCGTTCGCCTCGGCAGGTCAGCCCCGGTCTCGTCACGTGGCAACACTAGATACAGCCTGCATGGAAGCGACCGACCGTTCGCCTCGGCAGGTCAGCCCCGGTCTCGTCACGTGGCAACACTAGATACAGACCTGCATGGAAGCGACCGACCGTTCGCCTCGACAGGTCAGCCGGCGCGGCTCGTTCTGACTGGTCGATACCAGCTCGTGTGAAACTGATCCGCTGCCGTCTATAAAAACCGCCGTCGGTTAAACTGAACTACAACTCCAAACGAGCAACACGGCGGCCTGCAATTGCGTCGCAGCCGGTTGTATTTTTGTGCGAGCTCACGAAGAAAGTCTTGCAAACAAGCTGCAGCCACGGTGGCCCAGCCTGGGTAGCATTAATTATTCAGGTGGGCACTGAACAATGCGCCGCGATACCGTCGGGTAATCCGCCGTGGCTGGGCCCGCCTCCTACCACCGATCCGAAGTCTGATGGACCAGCGCGCTGAGATGGGTGGCAGCAGCACCAGCGCGCCGCGATACCGTCGGGTAATCCGCCGTGGCTGGGCCGCCTCCTACCACCGATCCGAAGTCCGATGGACCAGCGCGCTGAGATGGGTGGCAGCAGCGCACGAGCTCGTGGCTTTTCGGTTAGCGTGAGCGCAAGCATGTGAACCCGGTTTGCATTCTACTAGATGATAAACGAGCCGTATGCATGCATTTACAACTGGAGGAGGTCTTGTCAGAAAGATCTCACGCGTATCTTAACGTGATAGATGGTTGAAGATCATTCATGCATCTCTGAAGAGACCAACTCTAATGTTGATGATGATCCTATTATGATCTCAATCTTCTATTGTCTTGAAAGTAAGTGCAACGGCTATCCTACAGTTGACTTAATTGTTTTCACTTAATTTGGTGACAACACCAGCCAGTGGTGTAGCCCCTACGCCACCGTGACGTCACAAAGCTGCGCGCCGCCAGTACGTAGCGTGTTCTCCATGCCACCATGAGGTCACAAAGCCGCGCGCCGCCAGTGGCACACCTCCGCGCCACCGTGGGGCCACACAAGCTGCTCGCCGCCGATGACCGGTGACGGGGGTCATTAAGCCGGCTGTTCACTATCCCAACTATAGAGCCTCTATGGAGGCGCAATCAATTGAGCCGCTGATGGATTCTCGTGATGGGTTGTGAATAGTACTGATGGGAATGCTTGTGATGGATCACAAATAGCGAAGGGGGCCGTGAGAACGGGAAGCCTGACCGCTGATCGCGCTCTGGTTGGTGTGGAATACGCGGCCTCCATCTTCGAATCATTACTGAATACCCGCGAATTAAAAAGTTCACCATCCTCCTTCAATCACAACGCTTTAAAAGACGGCAGCTTTTCCAGGCCGCTGCACGCGCTGCCGACCGAAGGGCACGCTAAAAGGTTGGTCCGATACTTCCCGGCAGCCGAACCGGCAATTTAGCGGTCGCCGAGTGCCGCAACGATCGGAGCCGCGCCATAACCGCCGCTGCGGGCGGCCCGCCGCCGCCGGCGTCCGGTCATCAAACCAATTAGCCACGACAGGCTCGGCAGCCGGCCGGGCACGCCGCGTGCCGCCACGTGCCGCCGGCACGTGCAGCCGGCCGGCCTGCGCACGTGCCGCGCGCGCGCGCGCCCGGCTGCGGTGACGGCCGTTGGCTGCAGCTGGGGGCCGGGCGGGGAACGGTCGTGCCGCGGTGGCCGAGGTAGGGCAGCCGACGCCACCAGCCGCACTGTGGGCCGAAGAGGTCCCGCTGGCTTCCTTTCACCGCAGGACTGGCGCGGGAGTGTGAGCACGAGGGTAGGCATAGTCGGGGATATAGCCAAGGGGGTCACGGGTCATGCCCCCGTCCCTGAGCCAAGAGGATCTCATCAGAAACAGCACGTGTCGTCGCAATGATTTAGTCAAATTTCGGAGAGAATTTGACATTTACCCACGGAGGAAAAATTCGGATACGTGCCTGATCACAGTGAAGATGGGTATGGGTTTCACATGAAAGCATGAATTCGCGGATGTGCCGTTGACAAGCCCGTACGAGCTCGGCACGAATTCCCCACGTCACTTCGGTTCGTTTAGGCCGTCCTCCGATAGGACGGAAGTTTGTTTTGTTTGTGTTTGTTGCTCGCAGAAACACGTGGCGTTGACATATCCATCGTCACCCCTCATCGGCCACATGTGTTCGGTGGTAACCGGACCGCACGCGACATGTTACTCGCTGTTTCGTGGTAACCGGGACCGCCGACATGTTACCGCGTTCGTGGTAACCGAACGGCCGACTATTGTTACCGCTGTATGCTTGACGGTATGCATGATTGTTGCAGCGCTTTCAGTGCTGAATATCACGTAAATGTTATCATATTTGTGCTGGTGTGCAGTGACCGCCCCACAATTCCCCCGCATTCTGTTCTGACCTGCATGAGGACACGAGCCTCTGGCTCGCTCCCCAGGTCAACTGTCAGTGCCGGCCGGTGGGCCGGGTCGGCTGCCGGCCGAGCCCTGTTCGCTCCCGCACAAACAGGACCGACGGGACCGCGCCGCACCCCGGCCGCCAGTCACACACCCCTTGGCCGCCCAACGCGATGGCTTTTAAACAAATGACCATTAGCGCTGCCCCCTTGCCCTGCCCGACACGGTTGGGGGACGGAGCAGCGGAGAGCAGCGACAGGACAGCGGGGAGGCGTCGGGCAGACTGGGGAGGGCCCCGGCCTGTGGAAACCTCGGCCAGTTTCTCCAGTAAGGTGTTCTGCAGTAGTGGTGTATCCTCGGGTTGCATTAGTACGAGCAAATACCCGATAATATTGCTGGGAAAGTGCATGCAGTCAACAAATGCACGCACGACATTATCACCCGCATGTAAGCAACGCATTGAAAGACGGCAGGGACTCCCGCCTGTCCTGTCCGCCCGCTCCTCTGTCGGGTGTGCCCCCTCCGACGATATTAATGATTATTTACGCTGAGGCTTTATCCTAAATAACACCATGAAACTTATCAAAGGCGGTTTCACGGCCTAAAAGAAAACCGCAATGTTATGAACGTATGTGTTAAAGCTGATGATGCTGGCGCTAATGTCGACACAGACTGTGTAAATCTGGGCCACCTCCATCCATCGTCTAAAAAATCGTTAATGATGTAAACAGTTTTACGCATAGGTTCGCACCCGGGGGCGGCCGTCACCTCCGCAGAGTGCTGGTGCTGTGGAGGACTCTCATGAGCCCTGACTGGCCCTGACAACCGGAGGCGGCCGCCACCTCCGCAGCGAGTGCCGGTGCCTGGAGGATCATGAGACCTGACTGGCCTTAACAACCGGGGGCGGCAGCCACCTCCGCAGCGAGTGCCAGTGCTGTGGAGGATCTCATGAGCCCTGACTGGCCCTAACAACCGGAGGCGGCCGCCACTCCGCAGCGAGTGCCGGTGCTGTGGAGGATCTCACCGGCCCTAACTGGCCTTAACAACCGGAGGCAACGCCACCTCCGCAGCGAGTGCCAGTGCTGTGGAGATCTCATGAGCCCTGACTGGCCTAACAACCGGAGGCGCGCCGCCACCTCCGCAGATCGAGTGACGGGGGCGGCCGCCACCTCCGCGCGAGTGCCGGTGCTGTGGAGGATCTCATGAGCCCTGACTGGCCCTAACAACCGGAGGCGGCCGCCACTCCGCGCGTGCCAGTGCTGTGGAGGATCTCATGAGCCCTGACTGCCCTAACAACCGAGGCGGCCGCACCTCCGCAGCGAGTGCCGGTGCTGTGGAGGATCTCACGAGCCCTGACTGGCCCCAACAACCGGAGGCGGCCACCACCTCCGCAGCGAGTGCCGGTGCTGTGGAGGATCTCCCCGGCCCTGACTGGCCCTAGCAACGGAGCACAGGCGCCGAAAGGGAATGGGGAAGGGGGAGAGGCTGGAAGATAGATAATGCTCACACGCGAGAGAGCCCCACTGGGACTAAATGCATAGCTAAATTTAAAACAATAAAGTTGGAGGGTAGCGCCAGCACCCAAATTTGGGGTTATTTATTGGGACTGCCAGTGGGATGGGCGTGATGATGGCTGTATCAGTAATGGTGACACCGGTCGATTGATAGCGCTTTGTCACCTATGTTCCGGTGCTGTAAGGGCTGAGACACGGGTACAGTCACGCGACACATCCTGTCGGGAATGATGTAGGAATCTAACTAATCAGGCTTCGGTGGAATTAGAAGCAGCATCCTACTCTACCTTTAAAGCGTGGCTTCGTTGCAAGACGGAAGGCGAGGGCGCGGGAGCTTTGTTAAACTTCGGGAGTCAATTCCAAAATGTCAAAATAAGGCCCCTACACCTAGATAGTGGGCCCCTCACAAGCCAGAATGGGCCTTACACAGGTCAGGATGGGTCCTCTACAGGCCAGAGTGTGCCTTCAAGTCAATAATGGCCCTCTTCAGGTCAGAATGGCCCTAATGCGGCTTAGATAGGCCCTCTGTAAGACAAATTAGGGCCTCCACAGTCAATTGTGGGCCCTCTACAGGTCAGATAGGCCCACTATGAACTACAGGTCAGAATGAACCTGTACGGTTCAAAATGGGCCCCGTTAGACCATAGTGTGCTCTTTACAGGCCAGAATGGGCCCTCTGCAGGCTTAAATGAGCCCATCTACAGGTCGGAATGGCCCCTCCATGGTCGATAATATGCCCTCTAGATGTCAAAATGGGCCTTCTACAGGTCAGAAGGAGCTCTCCACGGTCAAACAATCGGTCAACAATGAGCCCTCTTCTGGTCAGAGCCCTCTCCCCCTCTCAGAATGAAACTTCCCACGGTTGGTAATAGACCCTTCTTCAGGTCAGAAAGCCCCTCTGAAGACCAGAATGGGCCCTCTACAGGTCAAATTTGCTCTCTGCAGCCAATATTGGAGCCATCCCAGGCCATTGACGGGCCCTCTACAAGCCAGAATAGACTTCCCACAGCCAATCGGGCTAGAATGAGCCCTCCAGTCAATAATGGACGCTCTACAGGTCAAAACGGGCCCTTTCCATGCTCAAAGTTGCCCTCTTTTGGCCGGAATGAGCCCTGGAACAGGTCAGTACTGGACTTTTACAGGCTTACATAACCCCTTTAACAGTTCAGAATGGGCCCTCGACATGCCAAAATGGGCCCTCCACGGACCCTCCACGTTGGGGGGGGGGGGGGGAGCGCCGCCACTCCAGCTTTCAAGTTGGGAGAGGGGCAAGTTTCCCCGCTATTCCCCCCCCCCCCCCCCCCGCCCCCGTTCCCGCGTCCTTAACGGAAAGGATGCAGGTCTGATTGTCCCTGGGAAAACAGCTGGCTTCCAGGGCTAGAAATCGACCTGATTAACTAACTAGCCGGACTTGACAGCCATAAACAGGGCGAGCGCAATGCCAGTACCTGCTGGCGTCAGCAAGGGCGTCCTTCAGTGGATAAACGTCGGAGGCGGGTCCCTGGTCAAATTGTCGCGCCGGCAAAACACTTAGGCCGAGGCGAATCGTCCCGAGGGCGGGAGGGCCGCTGTGCGCCCGAGTGACGTCATCATGACGGAGCTGCTATCGAATCGATGCCGGCCGCCGACCCGCGACGGCACTGCGTGGGCATGGCCACGTGTCCGTGACGTGGGCCGCACCACGTGCGGGCGGCGTGGAGGGTCGCGTGTGTCGCGTGGAAATCATCGGGAAGGTCAGAGAGGCTGTGCAGAGGCAACTGTAAATCCCGCGTGTCAACAGAACTGGGGCAGCGGGTACGTGGCGTGGGCATACAGTACAGGAGGCGCGACCTCAGTCTTACGACGGGATGCCGGCCTCCTTTGGGGTATGGCATGGTCTGGTACGTCTGGGGGAAGCTCAGTGCTGCCTTGGTCAGCCTACTCGTGGATCAAGCCATCCAAGGCGGTAGACTATCAGAGACTAGATCTTTTTTTGGATTATGTCCATGGGCTTTCTTACCATGGCGCCACAAAAAAACATGAAAACTCTGTCACACGTTGGACAGCCCGGCCCTTATGGAACTTTAAACTACGCTGAAATGGATGACATGAAAAATATATTAAATTTATATCCGTCGCTAACAGTATTCCAGTTCCCGCCAGTCCTGGTCAGAACACACGTCGCTAATAAGCGAGGATGGCTCCGATGATGAAGGCCCTGTGTGCGGACCTAAGCGCGCAACACCTCAGGACTGCCGGCCTTCCCCGCGCGCCTTGACACGAATCGGTGAGCTCGCACGCTCGGCCAGAGTGGCGCAGACTCGGCGCAGTCGACAGAAGCGGCGCGGCGACACTGGGGCGCGCGGCGGCACCGGCACCAGCCGTGACGCCCGCCCGCCCGCCTACCGCCCCGCTGTCCTTGTTTGCGCCGCGCCTCTCGGACCGGCGTCTGTTTGATCGCACGCGATGCATTGTTTGTGCGCGCCGCCTGCCGCCCCAGACGCGCCATTGTTTGTCAGCAGACGGTGACCCTACTGCACCTGTCCGCGGGCCCGGCCGAGGTCAGGCACTCTGTCGGCTCGGCAGACGGTGACCTACTGCACCTGTCCGCGGGCCCTGGCCGAGGTCAGGCACTCTGTCGGCTCGAGCAGAAGGAGACCTACTTCACCTGTCCGCGGGCCTGGCCGAGGTCAGGCACTCTGTCGGCTCAGCAGAAGGTGACCTACTTCACCTGCCCGCGGGCCTGGCCGAGGTCAGGCACTCTGTCGGCTCGGCAGACGGTGACCTACTGCACCTGTCCGCGGGCCCGGCCGAGGTCAGGCACTCTGTCGGCTCGGCAGACGATGGCCACAGGACCCAAACAAACCAGCTCCGCACGCAGTGCGCCCCGCAGCCGGTCAACTAGTGGTGGCCAAACCTCCGGTCGCACCCACGTGCTTTTGGTGATGAAATTGGGGGGCAAAGCTGAAGACGTCCAAGGGCTTGCTAAGATTTTTAATGCTTGATACCGTTGGAGTCCATCATAACTCAATTCCATTTCCTGTGTGTCTAATGACGTCGTCTCGGTGATCGGGCACACATCGGTAGCACATCTCGATCCCTATTTGCCACACACCAGTATAATAACCTGACACATCTGGAGTGTGCACTATTCATGCTACATCACCTGTGTGTCTCTTGGCAAGCGGCTACTGAATCATATAGATAGGTGATGGTGAATCCCCTCATCGGAAGATGTATCAAGGGCACAGTACAATGCTGTGTATTTCAGATTAGCATGACATCACTGCCACTTATCTACCAGAAACAAAAACATCCGTCTGCGCCGACCAACACGGGTGGTTCAAGAATTTCGTTAAGGGAGCAGCCACGCTTCGTTGTGGTGTCCCCCGGAACTTGGCGCCCCGCTCACAAAGAAGTCCCTGGATTTTGGCCGCTTTATTTTCAGATCTCATTTTTGAATGGGTAAAATACCTTCCGCCGGAATGGGCCGCCGGATTTAGTTTTTCTTCATTGGTAGAGGTAGATTTTTCTGCTATTTTGTACGTTGAATTTTAATATTTGGGACGGTTGGGGGTGCCCCTGAACTTTGGAGCGTCTTGAAAAGGAGCAATGAGGTTTTTGATGCCCCCTCACCACGAAAGTTCGTGCCCATTCGGCGCCAAAATATCGTGAATGCAATGTATGCAAAAAAAGGAGCGAACCGTCACCCCTGCCAGCGCACCCCCTATTCCATCCATTGTACAGGGTTCGTTCGGTTTGCTGCTGACCGATTTTAGCGGCCAGCCTCAGTCAGCTGGCGCCGGCGGCCGACATCTGGCAGGCCTTTTTGTCGGATCCCGCGCTGCCATGGCCGCTGCGCGACTCCCAAATGGTCTGGCCATCCTTGGCCCAAAGGCAGACTGGCCGAAACCCGCCACGTCTGGGTCCGGCGACGAAACTGATCTCGTGCAGCACCATAGCAAGCTGTCTTACCCTCTGTCTCCAGCGAAGCGATTTTTGCCGGAGTTGTAGATGGACAGATGTGACCTTTTCTTTTTCACCCACGTTTTTTTTTGCTACATTGTAAAAACATTACTACGGCGTGCGGTACAGCAAAACAGCAAAAAGAGATCAGGTGGAAAAACAGGCATACAGACAGGGTTACATCAATTATGGACGATGCTAACAGCAGGCTTATGCTAGTTATAATTAACTCGGCCTTACTTTCCCCTCCCCCCCCCAAAAAAAAAAATCAGGTCAAACACGTGGAACGCTTTGGCATGCTTCCCTGATTCTATTCTTGCTGAGAGTTTTATCTGCGCTGTCGCAATTCCACACAATTTTAGCCTTTTGGTCGGCCTTGTGGAAGACGATTACGCGGTAATGCCACTTCTATATTTTACCGTATTTCAAAATATTAAGGTTGTAAAGCGCAAACTTGCAATGCTCCATTTGCCCAAGCTTTGTTGGGGTTCAGAAGCTTTTTTGCGTTCTGAATTTTCGTCTCGTCACATGGCAACTAAACTTAAGGCTTTTGGCTTAGCGCAATTCCCGGCATAGGTATATGCACACAAACATAAAAGGTCTTCCAAAAGTTTTCTGGATTTCCTTTGCGAGAAAGGGCAACAAGCAGCTGATTTTAAGCAGCTCTTTTTCGAGCCAAAAGACTGAAAGGCAAATCAAATATCACAACTTTTGCGCTTTGCCATCGACCGTAATGCAAAGAGCCATACCACCAACACCAGCGTCGTTGAAAACATCACTACTGCCGAGTTGTCTTCCACAGGGCCCATGTCCGAAGCGTTGCAGAACTATTACGGCATGACGGGCAAACTCGCGTGAAAGGGAAGAAACATACGGGGTACATTTTCCAAGAATAATGAAACAGTATGAAAAAGCGCAACGTTTTACACATCTAACACAGAAGCAGTTTCAGGTTGACACAATTCCTCTGACCATTCGGTGTGACGAATGTTCATTAGTCTGGTGACGGGTGCATGCATGCATTTGTACAGGCACGTATCGGATTCTTTACGACATCTCACAAATCATCCGGATATTAACATTGCATATCATTTCATTATCTCACGAATATAAAAAACCATATCTCCATTACTGTATTGTTGGTAGCAATTTGTGACGTGAGGCGATTTGGAATCGAATTCAAATAATCATCAATGCGTCTTTCGTGCACGGTGAGACCGCCTGACGCACATTTGTGAGGTGTAAAATGAACTTATACTACCCAAGGCACATTAACTTACATGTGTGCAAACATTCCACGATGGTGGTTGCATCGATGAAGTAGCCGGCGCAGATGACGCAAGTCAGCTGTGACCTGAGGTCATCCAGGCGAGGTCGGCCCGGCTCTGGGTCACCGGCGGACGCCATTCCTGGAGCAGAACAGTATGACAGTCATCCCTGCTGATGGTGTGGGGTGTGCGCTGACAGGCTTGCTTCACCAGCCAGACGGCTGCGGCCGGCAACCACGAGCGGCGACAGGCCAGCGTGACAGACGGCTGCGGCCGGCAGCCACGAGCGGCGACAGGCCCGCGTGACAGACGGTTGCAGCCGGCAGCCACGAGCAGCGACAGGCACCCATGACAGACGGCTGCGGCCGGCAGTCAGGAGCGGTGACAGGCACGCGTGACAGACGGCTGTGGCCGGCAGCCACGAACAGCGGCAGGCACTCGTGACAGACGGCTGGGGCCGGCAGCCACGAGCGGCAACAGGTGCGCGTGCCGATCAGCGAATCCAGTGTGGCCAACCGAAACATGACGATGGGAGAAAGGTATTATAAATGACGTCTGACGTTAAACGCCAAACGCCGAACTGACGAACTTTAAAGGCGTGGCCAAAACTTGCCCCGACATCTGACAAAACTTGCCCCGAGCACTGGTTGTTGGGTGACCCGCGTGACCGGTGGCCCACGCCACCTGGGTGCGTGTTTTAGAAGGCATCAATCGGCGCATCTGGCAGTCATCACGCTCAGGGCATGAACGCCGCAGAGTGGACTTCGAGCTTGGCATTAATTGGTACCCGAGAGAGATTGAAGATGCAGCAACATGCGAGGCATGGCCATTACAACAGGCCTTAGCGTGGGATGGAGAGAAGAAGGTAATTATTCCGGCAGGGTAGAGTCTACGCGTTATGAAGCCCGTCGTGAGTGCAGCATTTAATAACACATAAGACGGTTTACGTGTGCCACAACCACAACGGGAAGTTTCTATGCGCCATTGTTCGGCCCCCTTTCGACCCGGCCAGCTGATTCCAGCGCTTTGCGGTCCGAGAAAAACAATGGAGAATGTATTCATGGACAATAAGAATGTCGCCACCGAGCCTTGCTGACACAGAAACACGTCAGCGGTAATTTGGTAATAGCGTGACGCGAATGATTAGTGTTTTGAATCAGGTGTGAATGCCATTATAATACTACGTGCTCTACGAATGCTACGAGAATACTACTGTGATAGTGGAAGCCAGTACGGGTCACGCGTCTCAGCCATGCTCACCGACTAGTCTAAACCGCCCACAAGCCGGCATCGGGTCCGACCACCAGCCCCCAGCCTTGTTTTACGGCCGTTTTAGGCGCTTCATAAGTGTGGGCTGAAGGGCGGCATTAAATCCGTCATGACACATAAACTCGGAAATATAATAAGTGTGATGATGGCCCGAGGGTAGCTGGGTCGGGCTCCGGTGAGGCGCAGGCCACGCCGCGAGATAAGTAACGATGCTAAGGTTTTATTGCGGATTTAGTCATGAAGAGAGCGGCGATATAAATCTTCAGTTTGAGGCTCGCTTATCCGGGCGGGCCGGTTTCCTGCAGCGGGAACGCTACTGGTCTGTCCCACCAGTCGGTAGAGCCGACGGTGATTATTATTATTGTCGGCGGCGGGCCGCGCGCCGGGCCGGGGCGGCGTGCGCCACAGCCTGGCGGGGCAGGTCACCATGCCGCAGTCTGGCTCCGGAACACATTCGGCTCGATGCCGCTCACTTCAGCCACTCCTACCAGAGGGAGTGGAGAGAAGCGAGAGCCACTCACCCCACCTGTGTCTTCTCTTCCGCTCTCTCCAGTTCGGACCACAAGCAAATTGCTAATTACCCGGCTAAACGGATCGGCTCCCAGTCCGTCTGGCGGCCGGCCGCGGTCACCCACTGTCGCGTAGGCCCTTATTACCCGTGCGTCGGTGCGGCGGCGGCGCGCCGTGGCCGCCGTGGTAGAAAGGGCCTACGCGGTCGCGCCGGAAAATTCATTAGTGGGCGCGCCGCCGCCGCGCCGAAGCCGAGGCCCGGCCGGGGGCATTTAGAGGCGGCGGCCTAGCCCGGCAGCAGCGGCCTGAGCCAGGTCGGAAATGAGCGAGCTCAGAATGGGAGGGAAGCCTTAGGAACCGATAAAGGGACCCGGAGCGTTCCATGCCGGTTTTGGCGCCGAGGTGGGTGGGTAGGGGTGGGGGTGGATTCGATGCCACTGGCATTGTCTGGTTTATGGGGCTTAGTTTTCCCGGAGATCAGAATGTCGCTTCGACATCTGGTGTGACTGTCGCCGACTGGAACGACTGCATAGCGATGATTGGTTGAAAGTAACCCCCACCAGTATGAAGTAATCGGAAGAAACGAATATCGACGAGTGATCGGGGACGCTGACCGGCTGACAGTGACTGGCAGCTGCAGGTACCGAATACATTCCAAACTTTGGAATCCCAAAAACTTGATGCGTTCATTTTGGAATTTGAACAAGCAGGAGCAAAATTTTTGGAATTTTCTACACATTTAGAATATTCTGAACAGTCCATATCATTCTGTCGTGTTGCACGTTGGCAGGCACCTCAACTTCTTTAAGCAGATGACCCTCACCCACCCAGCATCATTTTCCTTCTTTTCATTTGGTTCGTTCGATTCGGGTGAGCAGCAACGCGAGTAGTGAGTGGAGTTCTTGGTTGTAGGTAATAATAAGTTTGTGTTTACAAAATTGTAACTTCTTGGACGACTCATTTTTTGGACACCTTTTGAACGGACCGGTGGTCAATTCCTGGAAGATGAGATGGGGTTGAACCAGACCCTCCAGAATACGGCACCTTTTCTGGGGGTACCGGCTGGCAGGAACGGACTGGGAGCACCTGCCGGCGAGCAGTGACTGGGTACGCCGGCGAGGAGGGACTGGGAGCATCTGCCGGCGAGGAGTGACGGGTTACCTGCTGGCGAGGAGGGAACTGGGAGCACCTGCCGGCGAGGAGTGACTGGGTACCTGTTGGCGAGAGGGACTGGGAGCACCTGCCGGCGAGGAGTGACTGGGTACCTGCCGGCGAGGAGGGACTGGGAGCATCTGCCGGCGAGGAGGGACTGGGAGCATCTGCCGGCGAGGAGGGACTGGGAGCATCTGCCGGCGAGGAGTGACTGGGTACCTGCCGGCGAGAGGGGACTGGGAGCATCTGCCGGCGATGAGGGACGGGAGCACCTGCCCGGCCGAGGAGGGACTGGGAGCATCTGCCGCGAGGAGGGGCTGGGTACCTGCCGGCGAGGAGGGGGCTGGGTACCTTGCCGGCGAGGAGGGGGGACTGGGAGCACCTGCCGGCGAGGAGTGACTGGGTACCTGCCGGCGAGGAGGGACTGGGAGCACCTGCCGGCGAGGAGGGGCTGGGTACCTGCCGGCGAGGAGTGACTGGGTACCTGCCGGCGAGGAGGGACTGGGAGCATCTGCCGGCGAGGAGGGGCTGGGTACCTGCCGGCGAGGAGGGACTGGGAGCACCTGCCGGCGAGGAGGGACTGGGTACCTGCCGGCGAGGAGGGACTGGGTACCTGCCGGCGAGGAGGGACTGGGAGCACCTGCCGGCGAGGAGGGGCTGGGTACCCTGCCGGCGAGGAGGGGACTGGGAGCATCTGCCGGCGAGGAGGGACTGGGAGCATCTGCCGGCGATGAGGGACTGCGTACCTGCCGGCGAGGAAGGGACTGGGGTACCTGCCGGCGAGGAGGATGGGAGCACCTTATAGGCGTGGACAACTCGCGAAACCTGGATTCGTACCTGCATAATAGGCATTTTTGCCTCCTTTATAAATTTGTGCTTATTGCCAGCTCTTGACCCTTGCAGACGATTGGATGTCATTTGGCAAAACGTCGTGGAGCGTTGTGCTGAACTGGCACCCAGATAATTGCAAATGGAAGGGCTTTATATGTCCACGATTATAAAGACACACATAGGTACACAGCTATAAGTGATAAGCTAATTAGGAGACAGTCTAGACTAAAACGTGGTAACCCAGTACACTGGCTTCGTTTCCTTTCTGTACGAGGAAAAGCTTTTTTCAGACGATTGCACGTCAGAAAGCTGGCGCTGTCCGTAAATAGCACGGGGACCTCGTCATTCGGCTCGGTTTGCGATCTTGTCACACCTGTCTCACGCCGTGGAGGTGATCTCATACGCATCTGAGGTCAGTAATTCAAGAACCAAGCCCTCCGCCGCGCTATTTTGCTGCCTGACACCGACGTATGGCTCCTGCCGTTGACGAAACAGAGAGGTCCAGCTGTGTCCTGCGCAGCTCAGGCGGGCACACTGATTGATTGATCACACAAACATCGGCTGCAAAGGCTGCCTTTATATGTTTGCAGCCGGCATTGGCGTACTGTGGCCTGCGAGCCGACCTATGCGTCGCGCCCGCTGAAAGGGAGGTTCCACATTTGAAGACATTAAAGCAATCATCAGATTTAATGAAATAAGCTATATGAAATAAGTTACATACAACTACTGACATGTTTCTAAGCGGAAAAGACTGCTCTAGACAACACAATCTTTCAACTAATAAATGTTTTTCTTCTAAATTCGCCATTGTTAAATTGCTTAATGGAACGTTTGTATGACGCTGAGGTGACGTCAATCTAGCCGTGCGGCACTGCAACCGTAGCACTCATCTGAAGTGCTCCAATGTCGACAGGTAGCAAAGGTAGTGCAGGATGACGCTGAGGTGCCGTCAATCTAGTCGTGCGGCACTGCAACCATAGCACTCATCTGGAGTGCTCCCACGCCGACAGATAGCAGGGGTAGAGCAGGAAGTGTTCGCTGAGCTAAATATCGTTATGCGCCTCGTGTTCTGACCCTTTCTCGTGGTGTCATTACGTATTTGTCCGTAAGTTAAAAAGGTTGACTCGTAAACACATGCTCAGTTATGGCACCTTTCTTATCTACTCGATTACAAGCCTTATTTGCGTATTAACATTCATGTCCAACTTCCTTTATTGTGTGGCACAAATCATGATTCGTGTTTGAGACTTGCTCAACTACTCAACATTGGTTGAGAACCGAATGACGTCCGCTTTAAGTGGAAATTGTACTGCAGGGGGTACGAACGCCAGACCTCAACGGTTCTACGACTATCTCTTTTTTGGTCTTAAACGCCACGTG